AAAGTGGGGACATCCCATAGGCGTAATGGTTTTTATACTGTACAGACCGTATATTCTATTGCCCTACACCAACCCTACCCCTAAACCTACCCCTTACAGGAAACTTTGTGCCATTTCAGAGTTTCAATACACTCCATTCTGTGTGATTTATAAGCGTTTTGAAAAGTGGGGACATGGGGTAATGTCCTGAAAAGTCACCTTCTCCTTGTAATACCTATGTCATACCTTTGTCATTATACAAATATATGTCCTCACTTGTCACAAAAACGCATGCACGCACACACACACACACACACACACACACACACACACACACTGTACAGTAAATACCTTCACACTTAAGCATATATCACCAAGCAACTACTGTGAATACAATGTCATAATGGTGTTTTTCGAGGCCAAATTTGATCTGGTAGTCTTGAATGAACTTTTTTTTCTTTTCTTGACACTAACCTTAAATTGTGACGCTCAGGGATACCACAATAATGTCTTCAAATGATCTTTGTTTGAGTGCTTTTCTGGCAATCATTGATAATAGTTTGTGATTAATAGTGATTAATCAGCATATTGTGGAATTTTATTTAAAGAAATAAAAACATACATGATTATAGTAAGTAAAAATGTGCAAATCACTCCACCAAGAGAAGCAGTGCTGGGTTTTTCCTCATTATAGAATTAAATCCTAAGATGCTGGGCTAAACTTCCATTTGATTGTTTCCTAGAATGGAGAGAGAATTAGATTGTATCTTATCTCCTTCCCCGAGGACACCTTTAACGCTGCAGCATTAACAGTAAATACCAGCAAAACAAACAAGATCAGCCAATCCCAGCTTGGTAATTAGCCTAATTAAACTAAGGTTGTACGCGGCATGATTATACATCATTAATTTCGACCTTACAGTTGCTGTAATTAAGTCGCTCGTCACATGAGCTCCCTTGTAAATACTATTTTCACTATTCTCACTCAGACACTTATTTATTTTATTTATTTATTTTTACTCGGAGGAAGAGAGGGCGAGCGAGATGCTGGTTAGATGATTAGCAGCACACGTCTCTCGATTAACTCGAGTGTATGAGTACTTCACTCTGTGGGAATTCCTTGTTGAATGAACCCTCCTCCTCCTCACTTGAGCAAGTGTAAAACTATTCTTCATTTTAATGCATAAATTATATGCCTATTAATCATTAATACTGTCAATATAATACCCCTCTCCTCAAGCAATACCATCTATTCAGTGACTTCACATAAGTCTGAAAGTGCTTTTAGCTTGCCAAATATTTGGGAGAAAGTCTTCTTCTCAGAGGAAATGCAGCATATGGTGTGTTGATGTGCATATTTGAATGTAGGGCTTCACAGTTTGGTCCAAAAATCATGTTGGGATTATGTTGACAGATTGCAAATGCAGAACATATACTTAAACATCTCATACAGCTACTGCTTGTATATCAAGGCTAAAAGAATAAAAGGAATAAAATCATCTTGAAACAGCAGCTCTCATGTTCAACAGGGTATGAAATACTACAAGCTGGCAAATGATGCCTTTTGTCTTCAGATTGAGTTATTTTGCTCACGCTCTGCTGCCAACAAAAGAGTTACTCTTAAGGGTGTTCACCAGGGTACGAAATTAACTTTTAGCCCACCAGCTATAGTGTATATATTTATTTTTATTTTTTATATTACATTATATTATATTATATTTAATATATATATATATATATATATATATATATATATATATATATATATATATATATATATATATATAAACCTTTGCAGGTGTTTTGAGTTGATTAGCTGATTGGCATGTCACTATATTCTAATTTGTTGAGATAGTGAATTGATGGGTTTTTGTTAAATGTGAGCAATTAAAATCATCACAATTAAAAGAACCAAAGACTTAAACTACTTCAGTCTGTGTGCATTGAATTTATTTAATACACGAGTTTTACAATTTGAGTTGAATTACTGAAATAAATGAACTTTCTAATTTATTGAGATGCACCTGTATAGTAAGAAATGGAATCCATATATTGTTTATATATTTGAAAATAGTGAACCTTTGTTTTTTCATGTAACTAGACTTTGAATTAATTCATTTTTAAATTTTTAATTTATAAAAATTAAATATTTAAATATTATTATTATTCTTAAATATTATTATTTAAATACATTTATAAAATTAATATGAACTATTTCATATATATATATATATATATATATATATATATAATTTTTTTAAATAAAATAATTTAATTATATATATGTATATGTGTATATATGGATGTATGATATATAACATTTTAGCAAACTTCATTGATGCAAAGAAAACGTCTCAGGTTACACATGTAACCATGGTTCCCTGAGAAGGGAACGAGACACTGCGTCCTCTAGCGGCCACTCTGTGGAACGCCTTCAGCGTGACCGATGTCTGAAGCACATGTGTAAACACCACAATAACATTGGCCAGCGACAGCCTATGATGTCACAACCTGAGAGACCATAGTATAAAAGGGCACCGGGAGAATACATCATCTGCTTCTTCCATCTGCAATAATGAAGCATGTGTCCTGAGGCATGGCAAGAAAAGAGGACGCAGTGTCTCGTTCCCTTTTCAGGGAACCATGGTTACATGTATAACCTGAGATGTTCCCTTTTGATCGCTATGGGGAATGGAATAACCACACTGCCATGCTGAGGGAAGTGCATGCCATATTTTCTGAGGAGAGCTCTAAGCACCAACTCAACAGTGAAACCATCAGAGTCGCCCCTCAGACGCATCAGCGGCTGTCAGTGACACTATCCCCTTCAGCCAAAGGCCCGAGCTACATACCCAAATTAACTTACCTGTTAAGGGATGACAAAGGAAAGCAGTGAGGGGCACTGTTGCTCAAAATCCATCAGGAGGGTAGAATGGACAGCCTAATAACCTGATATGACTGCTTCAAAGGCCTAAAAGAGCAGAGCACTCAACTCTCAGAGTGAGAGGAGAACTCACATGCTCAGAGGGGTGCATGATGGGGCTCCAGGAGTGGCATACTCATACGAGTGGCATACTCATACGAAACCCTCCAATTTAGGGGAATATCGCCAACTCAACCATAAGGGCAGTCACATGATGGGAGCTCTGGGGAGCAGCATACTCAAAGTGACCCTGTAATAAGGGGAGCAATGCCAGGCTCAAACACCGAGGTGGTCATCAGGGAGGCCAAACAGGAGGCCTTAATCCACCTGGTATGGTTGCCTTGTGGAGCTCCAGTGAGCAGAGGTCTCGACCCTCAGAAAAGAGAGGGGAACTCAGACGCTCAATCTGGGAGCAGTGTGCTTGTAGACAACAGAGTGGAGTTACTTAACAACTCAATGAGAGGATAACTCAAGCTCAGTACATCTGCAGAATGGTCATAGGGTGCTTAGATCTCAAGGAGCCCCTCAGGACGAGATATGAATAATCTCACCTCACGAACAGCCTGCGAGGGTGGCTTCTCGAAGCCAAAACACCCAGCGAGGTCATCGGGGAGCAGGGTATGCAATATCACTCAGGAGTGAGAGGAGTACTGCCGTGCTCAACCTGGCTCAACCAAGCTACCACCTCAAGTAGACATGGAGGGCCTAACAACCTGAGGTTGCAGCGCTATTCTGGGACCTTGATGACCAAGGACTCTGTGTCATGGTTCTCCAGTGATGGGATGGACAGGGAGGCCCAGTAAGACAGGCCTAGCAACCTGTTATCAAGGGAACCAGGATTCTGTACCAGAGACGTACCCACAAGCAGCCCTCAGGAGTGCAAGGGAGGTAGAGTCAGGCTCCTGTTCCGGGGAGCAGAATGCTCAACTACACCTACTTGTAGGTGAGGGGCATCAGCTCAACCTATAGATGCGAGAGGATCAAGGAGGCTATGCAGGCCCAGAACTTGGGCTCTACTACACCACAAACCCCAAGAGGTCACCAGAGCAAAGATAGATAGGGCCCTTATCTCCTGACCTTCGACAGGAGAGGCCAATGGGAAGCCCTAGTTCCCAGTATTGTAAGTCAGTGGTACAGAACAGAGGTTCCAGATGCACTGCAAGAGGTAGGCTAGTTAGCATACACACAAGACACTCAAGAAACTAGCAATAACAGTATCCTTAGGAAATGAAAAGGATCTTACTAACCGTACCGTAGCTCCCGTGCATGGCTCTCAAGGCTTGCAGATATATTCTGGAGACATAGTTGAAGGTAACCACACTTGGGGTCAAGTGGGGGGGGGGGGGGGGGGGGGA